TCATCCGCGGACTGAGGATACCGAGAGGACGCCCACCCCATACGCGGAGTAGAACCCGTGCACTAGAGTGCGAGACAAATTCGTTACAAGGAGGTTTAACGGGTAAAACTGAAACTCTTAACAAGTCCTGTGCGATGAAATTTATTGCAAAAACGCAAATTTATACTAAAGTGAAGAAGGTTTCAGTGGCGCAGCAACACATTTGCCACCCGGGCGGATGTAAAATTTCCGCCCCCGTGGAGGTAGTTGATCCGTATATCCACGTAGTTGCGAATAGACTTTAGTTGCATTATGGTATGTAACACAAACAACAAATCTAAACTGCTGCCGTGAATGCAGGTATTTGTATTGTTACGGTATTCAAGAGCAAAATTTACAAATACATTTTTGTGCTCTACTGTAGTCAACCGGATTGATATCACCAACAAAATTCAGTCCATTATTGAATTCCCTCTCTATAGAGAAAGCTGCCAATCCGTGAGCCTAGTCTGTTTCGTTGCATATGGAAGTTAGTTAATTATAAGCATGAGTTTTGAGAATGCCCTTTCACGCTAGCTGTGCTAATAGTTCGAGTAAAATACATGCCCAGTTGATTCCAAAAGAGAAATTTCTCAATGAAATTCTAAAGTTCAGGTGATCTATTAACTTTATCCTTTCATGAATCTTGCAAAACAATACTGCAATCTGCTTTTTTCGACAAGGAATTCCTTTATGGCTTCCTCAACATCGCAAAACGAATAACCATGGTTATTAGCAATCAGACTTAAAGTTAACAACATATTATTTAAGACATACATTGCTGAATCTATAGCATTCTCAATCAATGTCAAGACAGTAAAATTATTGTTTAACTATCGATATTCAGACGTCCACTGTTCAGACGTTCTCTGATGCTTTCTTTCGCTATCAGTAAATTGATGGAAATGTAAGGGGCGGTGACATCAAAGGAAACCATCACTTCTTCGTGGTCTATCCGCACGCATTTGAGCTTTTACCAAAATTGATGCGCATAAATGGTCGAGTATTACGATCCGCTGGTCAGATGTTTGAGTACATTCCATAATCCTTTAGCCAAGTTGTAAGTTGGCGTACCTGGGAGTGATAATATTGGTCTTAGCGGCACACCCTGTTTGTGTACTTTAGTGAACCCGTAAAACGTTACGTTCGATGACACTTTCCTTGAGAATTTCCTCTACGGAGCAAGGCACTGAAGATGCCACTGAGGGAAGTGGCGAACCGTTTGTCATTAAATTACTCAGCTCGAAAAACAAGTCAAAACATTAACGACATAATTTGGGAGAGTTTGTTGACTGTCACACTCAGAGGGAAGAGAGATTTGAACGGCATTCCAACCAGCTATACTAGATTGTCCGTTTCGGAGGGTGATCTCTTAGGTAAGTGTTGCGGTTAAATTCTAGCAGTGGACAGCAAATGTGGTTTAGGTACCTCAAATTCTGATAAAACGTTATGATATCCCACTCTCAAGCGCCGATATCGATCGCCGTACCTTCCTATGGAATTAATCGTGAGTTTCTAAGACAAGTGGAATAGGCCACTAACGTTCATGGTTGCTATGCTTTGAGGAGTCACGTGGGGAAAGGAACCCTGTTTTCGCCATGTAGTCCACGCTTGGATGGCGTATTTCACGAGCGGTCGCATGTACGCGTTTAGCATTTGTGGGTTTAAACTGTATAAACGCTCCGTGAAACAGGCCATCTACTTGAATGCCGGTTAGCATACCCACTCTGCTTAGTATGGTCATCAGATATCGTGTTTCTTCAGTGCATCCAAGTCAAGCGTCTAAGGGGCGTTTTGCAGGGTGTGGAATTCAAACTTGTAAACGCTCACCGGATGATTACAAAGGTGGATCGCCCACCACTTAGCTGTTTTAATTAGAGTAGGCTCGTCGTTGACTATTTATAAATGCAATCCAGGTCTTGTTAAAGTATATCGTGATTTTCCTTGTAATTAACTGTTCTCCATATCTTTAAGTCGTCATCGAAAAGCAAGAAATTGGAGGAGATATCACTTGCGCGGGCTTTTAGAAATACATCTAACAGTTGGGGTCGCAGCAACGAGCTCCGTTGGACACTGCATTCTACCATAATCAGATTAGTTAGTGATCACCTAACACACAGTTTAATCTATTTAGTTGAAGAAAAAGCCAATCCAACCACTAACATGAATTTCAATTCCATTGCTCTGTAGCCTACGAAGTATGATGCGGTGAGTCGGGCGGTCGAAAGCTTTGGAGACATTTAGATAAATGTTTTTGACTCCACACCCATCATCCGTCGCTTCTGTGCCATCGTCAGATTAGTGGTGCATGGCTGGTGTTAACAGAAATTTTTCTGCTCCGTTGCCAAGTGCTTACATTTCTCCAGATAGCCCATAATGGTCTTCACGACGACCGCTTCCATCACCTTCGTGAGTAGAAGCAGGAAACTCACTGGGCAATAGTTTCCAGGGCCTGAACTTCTATCGCCTACAAAGTGGGTTACTAATGCCATGCAACCAGTTAGCGGGAACTTGTTGTTCATTGAAGTATACTCGGAAGAACTGTGACGGTTGTTTGGCCAACTTGTTAACCTCAGCATTCAGTGCTATTGGGCGGAAGTTGTCTTCACTAGAATTTACTTTCTGCGCACAGTTGCTTGGTTGAAAATTACATGTGTGAAACCTGGAATTGGTAATATGCCCGACGTAATTTGAGACATGATGCTATTAGTTCGTAAACCGAGGCGTATTTTAGCCGTAGGGTAGTGACTGCTTCGTCGGCACTTTGTATGCCACCTCCTGTTGTGAAAGGTGAAGGGTTTGCCATGCTTTATGTTTACCAAAACCGTTGACATACCTGTACGAATGTTTGTAGCTTGAAAGAAACTTGTTGACTTGACACCACGGTCAAGTTGATTTGTCTTCATGGGGATCAGGCAGTTACCTCAAGCATCTGCGTCTGGGTGAGCCTTGTAAATCGAAGTCACTGGCAATGATATTAGAGCTATTCCTAAGGGGTGTTTCCCTGTTCAACTCACCTAGCAAGCAGGAATCCATTTCCAGAGCGGACTTGACGGTAAATGGCAGCTACGAGATATGGGTCATTGTGTCTCAATCGCAGACGGTACCGGAGTGAATTGGTAGCAGGAGTTTCGGGATCATCATCGATTGCACATAGCAGATCACTGCAGTGGTAGAACGAACCCCGCCTTCTCTACTAGGACGTTCGTTCCGGATGCGTGATATTCCCGCCATCTCAACCTCAGTGTCAACCACTTCTTGATGTAACCAGCTTCCGTTAATAGAAACTAGGTCCCAAGCAATCGCAGCCTGACGTAACCGAAGTTCGGTAATTGTAGTAAGAAGCGTGTACGCATTGGTGCACTCAGATGAACGTTTCTTAGATTTCAGCAAACTTCGGAGATTGTGCGATTCAGACCTGATGCTTCGCCGACCAGTGAGTGACCGGAGACTAAGCGTTTTTTCTGTAGGTACTAAGAGCTGGTTCCATATCTTCTTCATCTGCTGCATAATTTGTTCCATCTTCTACTTACCGCGTAAGGTGCAGTGACACCTATTTCATCAAGATTTTGTATGGACTCCGCAAACATACTGTTGGTTCACTCTTCTATTATAATTCCATTCGCGTTTGCTTCCTTAGGTGACATATCAAATCCAGCGGCTCTTCGTACGCTAGATTCAGCCAAAGCTCAGAAAGCATCCTGCAACGAAACCCATACCAGATTTGCAACAGCGTTGCTGCCATGTGTTGTGAGTGTAGGAACGCCTTCAACACTCCCGGGCCAAATACTTTGCAGTTTGGTGACGGGAGCAGCTGTGACACCGATTCCGCTAGTACGTCATTCACGGTGCGTTTCAAGAATGCACCACCACTATTCCTCATCATGTTGTGACTTGAATCTTATCGCATGCTTCAGTTTCAGGAACGCCGGTATTAAGTTTGGTTCTGGTTAAAGTTTCTTCGCACTGATCTTCTAAGCTGCAATTAATTTGATAATGCTCGCCCCAGTAGGTATCTGAAATAAGACGGATGGAATAGTGTACATTTTTGAGTCGACCCGTCGATAGCAGAACTGATCCGACTTCTGTGATGGAGTTCAACATAACGCACAGAAACCTTCGCTTCCCGTAATTCTGAGCGCTGTGGTGTGGCGTGATTGGTGTTATCTGTTCTGGTTTCAATACTGACATGAGTTGGTTAATACTGACTTCCCATTATTCGAGGTCGTCTTTAGCGGAAGCGTGGATTGTGGATCCAAAGGGTATTTTTGGTAGCAGGGAAAATATTACTGATAGAGAAAAGGTTCCTGTTAACCTACCTGTCAAAGCGACACCGTTGACACTGCTAGCTAGAGAGAACAACGGTACAGCACACTTGGTGGTCAAGCGAAGACCGAAAGAACAAAAGCGCCAAACTTTGGCGGTAGTCGATTCAAGCAATCAAACTCAACATGCAGTTCAACAAACCGCCCTGGTCGTCTTGGGGTACATTGAACTAATAATTATTGCTCGAACTTTACACAGGCAAAGCGGGAACCTCCAGACTTTGGGTGAAGATTTCAAATTAGCATTTGTGGTTGCGTTTTAGAACATTTCCTCCTTTAACTCAGTTACTGCGGACCTATAATCTTTGTCGTTTAACTGAACCACATCACAGTTGTCAATGTTATCGTACTCTGCCGACGGTTTGAAATCGTTTTGAATTAAGGCGCATAAAATTCTTTTCTCGACTACAGTCATAAAGCTAAGAACTGATTCAAATGGATGGTGAGAAGACAGTATGGAAACAAGAAAAAAGATCGCGCTGATTAGAAATTTGGCCCCCGACGATGTCCTTTGTAGAAAGTGCACGTACCACGCGTGTGGTAATGAAAGTATACTGCTCCAGAGGATAATCATCCTCTCCAGGAATGTGTTTTCATTGCTTTGAAAAATCTCGGGCATCACAGTTCTTACACAACGAAACGAATACCTAAACCCAGGTATTATTACCTTACAAGAAAGTTGGTTGTACCCAGAAGTTGAAGACGAAATTACAAACATCGGTAAATGCCGTTCCAGTTGGTCCAATAACCCAGTTAAGCAGAGGAATCTTGGTGGCGGCATCATCATGTACTTTAACCAACTCTGGTGCAACTCAGTCATACTACTATGCACTCAATCCACAAGCTCCATTAGCTGTCATTTAATTTAATGTAAGCCTTAGTTTCTCAGTGGCTTACAATCCGTTGTTATCGGATGTTCCTAGATTACTCCTGATAAATCATCGCCTGAGCCGAGGGTATTGTGGATCAAATTTCTTTGGTATTTCTACGGAAACTAGAATGCTCTGCCTGCAATGTTGCAAGTGACTTTAATAAATGTGATACAACGTTCTTTAAATCCCTTGCTCCGGCAACTTTAGTAACTTTCCCGAGCAGACTAGTCGCCCAGCTTGATGTTATTTACACAAACAAAATTCGTTCGTTTTCCATTCAAAAGAATGTACTACAAAGCAGCTTAGAACATTGTTTACTGAGGATTTGTCCTACCATCTACAGTAAAATCAACTATACCGTATTGACGAAACGCCCATTCAGGACTATCTGACGATTCAACTGCTTGGCGAAAACTATAGCTTGACTTCAAACAACTCTTTCTTTAACCGAGTTTTCAGTTGTTACAGAGGAATCCATCGCATTAATGCGATAATTTCATGAGTTACGTAAACCTTTGCTTCCACCTATGCTGCCCTATCGAGACAATGCACCTACGAGGAGTAAGATTTTCTTCACCCCTGCTGAAACAACTTCGAAGGAAAAAGAAACCTGCTTACAAGGTCAAAATGACCGTCCGAGTCAAAAGCCAGACTTTAGCATTTAAAGCTGAATTGACGAGACTAAATAGTTGATATATTTAAACGGCACTGGGATATCGCAACTGCCGTGATCACTGGAGGCTGTTGAAGCGAAGCTGCGGTGAAGTACCATTGGCTGTACTAGCATAATAGCTGTGGACAAGCAATTCTGAGTTTAGTTTTTTTCTGTCAAGCGACCTTCCAGTACTGTCTTTATTAGCTTAGACCCAGCTGCCCTATTTGATCAAGGTGACGTCAACAGAGAACTCACGAACCGAAATCCAAATAAAGTTAGTGGCCCTGATGGTATATTATCAGGGGTTTTAATGCGTTGCGCTGGTTTTCTTACATTACCTCTGATATTTTTAACAAGTTTCTCATGACCGATGCCATCCCCGATATCTGGAGGTTAGCCATAATGTAGCGCCCCAAAAAGTAATTGCTATCTTTCATGGAAAATTTAATTGTTGACCGATTGTACATCATTCCATCTTGTTTTAATCCTCCTTACAACCGGCTCTACATTCGACCGCCTTGTAAGTTCCCACGTTCACGTTTTTGCTCTTGTCTCGCTTCATACGTCCGCGGCTTCTTATAGCCGCGGATACGGTCCGCTGTCCGACTGCAATAGCCTTCTGATATCCGCGCTTATTTTCGCGCACCGTCTCGGACTAGTAATAACTGGTCCTTTAATAATAACGCCAATCCATTAAATGAAACCTCAAAAGTATCCGCCTTGCTCTTGTACTCCTGTGCTCTTAAAATTCTTATAAAAGCTACTAGTTCCACGAAGTTCCACAGCCACTCTTGCTGTTGATCTCTGCCAGTTTTCGCTTGGACCGCAGCGTTCCACGAACGCAGTGCATTCAATAGCCTGGGCGCTGGATTAAAACTACAGGTCCTTATGACTTCTTTCTGTTGACTAATCAAACACATTGAGTAATCTCGACCAATCCGTTCTACTTAACGTGCTTCATTTAAACGGAGTCCACGCTGATGTATGCAAATTGTTGCGTGACTATTTCACTGATTATAAGTATTTTACCCAGTTATATAATAAAGCTTGCTCTATGCTGTGTGCAAACTGCTGTGTTTTGCAGGTTGCAATCCCTGCTCCAATTTTATTCTCTCTATGTGTGGAAAGTCTCCCCCTAATAACACAACTCATTGGATGTAAGTACGTTGACGATGTTACTTTGGCATGAAGGGCTCCGTCCATTGAGACACCTTCGCTTCAATGTGGTTTAGACGAACATGTGACTTGGTCCCATAACTTAAATGCTTTGAAATGTACTCGTGTAAAGTTTGCATTTCTCCGCCCTGATAAATTGCGAGTAGTTTTAGACTCCTCACCTCTCTTAACTTTGGAGGACAAAACCGTACCTATTTCATGCACAGTCAAATATATCCCTGTCTATTTTTCCTAAATCTTCTATTGGTTCAGGCACGTTTTGGAGACCTTTCGCAAGGTCTCTAGGTTATCTTTTCCTTCTTTCTGACTCAACAATTCTCCGTACTGCGGAGCCTAAGTTTACTATTTTTAACTGCATACATACTACCCCACGTGTTGTACTCACCCCAGAACTTTTCCTGGACTTCTGCCAACGGACTGTTTTTATTGTGCGATGAAGTAAGCATATTTCCAGATGTGGCTACTACTTGCCTAGCGATTCCACGGTTTATTTTCTTGTTCGTAAGCAATTAGGCACTCACAATACTTTTTCTTTGAAGGTCCTGAACGACCAGTTTCCTCCGCTACATATTGCTCTCACAAACCTTATCTGTATCTCACACACACAAATGTTAGGATTTTATTCTCTCCTACTTCTTTCTAACGCAACACAATCTTGATTTATTTGTCGCGCTTTCTTGTTGTCCCTCAAAAGTCGCAGATCCTTTGCTCTTGCGGTTGCTGCTAGACAATTTGCAACTTAGACAGCACGAAGGTTACCTACCTTTACAGACGATTGGGCCTCTGGGCAGAGCAGTTCGCTCTTCGATTCAACCACTGAACACAGCCCACTGTGGCACTTCCAGCCCCAACGGATGATGCCTGGCCTGTCTCCATGGGCCCTCTAACGGAGCGGTAATCTAATCATTGAAACCCCATGAGGCCCCTGGTCCAGATACTCTACCACCCGCTCCATACAAAGATGCTGAAAGTGTACTTGTCAGCGAAACACTTTCGCTGTTCACGAACCTTTGGAGAGAAGAAAAGGTTCGAACTCATGGTGAGAATCGGTCATTGTTCTGACCCATAAGAAAGGCTTTACGACGACTTTCGTAACTACCACGGAATCTCGTTAATCTATGTCAAAACCGAAATCTTCGTCCCGATCCTACTTCGTAGGCTTTCAATAATTAAAGGGGAGTTTTACCGAGAAGATCAAGCCGGATGTAGTTCAGGCCGTGGCTGCATCGATCACGTCTTTACGCTCTACCAACACCACGAAAGTCATTACATCCACCGGCGGCCAACACTCTTAGTGTTCTTGGACATCCAAGCGGCATTTGCTTCAATAGATAGGTCTGCGTTGTGGGATTGTTTGCTGACGAAAGGTGTGCTCGACAACGTTGTAACCATCCTGGAAACACTTTACAGTCACAGGTCGGACAAAGTCTGGGCCTATGGCACGCTCTTTTCTGCGTTTGTTGCGACCAGTGGTGTTCGAAAAGGTTGCCACATTTCAATTTTCCCCTTTTAATTTTTCCATCGCATATGTTGTCCAAGAAGCACTGAAAGGTATCCAGAACTGTGTTACGGTGCTCCTTCCTGGAGACAGAATCAGGGACTTGGACTACGCCGATGATACTCCCTAGCTGGGGAAAGACCCACAAACCGTTTAGAGCACTTTGGACAGTTTAGCGAGGGAGGTACCTAAGTATGCCTTATGCTTCACTCTAGGAAGATGGAAAACGCTACTCCAGGACTGGTAAGTGTCTGGACACGCGCTCATCATTGTTGAACATGTTCTGCAGATGCTCTTTTACTTTACTTATCTACAGAGTTGCACCACTGCTGGTGGCGGTGTTGAAGATTATGTCACACAACGGATAGCAATGTCTCAATTTGCATTCATCAAAATGAGACACCTATGGCGCCGTCGGGATATTAGTCTCAAGATCAAGGGCAGGGTGTCCAATGCTTTCATTCGTGCAGTAATCTTGTACGGTTGTGAGATTTGTCCTATTGACTGCGAAGACATGGAGCGGCTACCAGTCTTCGACAATCGCTTTCTACGAAGAATTGCTCGGGTGTGTTGGCAACAGCTCGTAAGCAACGCAAAGGGCCGAGAACGCGTGCTTGGAAGGTGTAGTAACAGTCTTCAAAACGGTATTCCCCGACATCGCTTGCGTTGGCTCGGGCACATTCAGCACATGCAAGCCCATCGCCTCTGACAACAAGCGCTATTTGCACTCACATGGATCTGATGAAAAAATGTTGCGCTGGATAGCCAAAAATGTGGAGAAGTGGCATGGAGAAGGCAACTTCAAGTTTAGTGGCAGTCGGACCAGTCCATTTTCCAAGTTGGGGACTACGAGATGCTGAATGTCACTGGTTGGAAACATTGAATGTAATGGCCCGCAACAAACACCATTGGGATCAAAGTTCTTCTGCCATTTTTCCCCATTGAATGCACGAAAAGCACTTAATAAACAAAAAAGAAACAAAAATGGAGTGTGTAAAACCAAAAAACGCTTTTTCGATTTTAATTGCAGCTGCTGTTACTATTTTCCCTAGCTTTTCTTTTTCCATGGTTCTGGGCGCAAAATGTCTGTCAACGAAACATATATATATATCTGTATATATATATATATACATATGCCGCCCCACACCCTGCACCGGGCGCCTAGGTGTACAATGAAATAAGAACTTCAGTTAGAATTTTACAAATGCAAAGGGGGGAACCTTCAGCCTGCTACAAATCGTACTGCCTGCCTCTAATTGTTGTCGAATTTGGTGCTGCACCGTTGGAGCTCAGTACATTTAGTACGGTTTTTCGTGTAGTTCCGTCGCAGTTAGACACAGACAGACAGTCACCACACATCCAGGAAAGCATTAGACGGCCGCTTCGTCCTATTGTGACTCGTCAGTAGCGCGCACCAGCCGAATCCTGCCGGATTCGAACCCACGTGCTTTCGAGTCAGCGACTTATGCCGCTGAGC